GTGCTGGCCTAGAAAGATCTTTCTTCTTGAGTTTATTTATATTAAAAAGAAAACGCTTTACATATCAGAACATAATAATCATCTTGTCAACAATGAATAACAGTAGTCCAGCCTAGAAGTAATAAATACATGGACTAGTTTTTCAGCATTAGGATATTTCTAATTTTAGAGATATTGTGCAAATGGAACATAGCACTCCTACATATCTGTTTAATATGTGCATTGAAGGACATATCCTGGTCAAATATGAGCCCAAGAAAAACATCAGCAATCTGATTACTCTGGAAAGAGTTACAAGGCTCTATCCGGACAATCTAAAGTCCATCATTGTAGCCCAAGAAAAATTCTTCACGAGTGGAAAACAATTAAGACCCAAAGGTCTGACTGTGCAATGTTCAGAGAAACTGCAACAACCCCCCCTAAAAAAAAACAAAACTCAAGAGCATGATCTTGGACTCATTACAGTCATTACAGTATGATTTCTGTAAGCAACATGTCAGCACAGAATCAGAATACTTTATTAATCCCTAAGGAAATTATGTAAAAGCACAGTGTAGCTTTGCAGAGCTGCATCTAAACAAAACATTAAAAATTTCTGGAACAATAAAACCAAACTGGAGATGTTTGTCCATAGTAACAGCAGCACGTTTGGAGTAAACCAAATGGCACAAATATCTCAGACCAGCTGTGAACACAGTGGTGGAGCGATGAGGATTTGGGCACCTTGCAGTCACTGAGTGGAGCATGAACCAAAGTTTTCTAGAGTCAGATGTGAGGCCATCTGTATGAAACCTAAAGCCTGGATGAAACTGGGTCATCTACAGGGCAATAAATGCAAGCACAGCAGCCAATCTACAAACGAATACCTGAAAAAAGAAAGAATCAGTGCTGCAGTGGTCCAGTCAAAGTCCAGACCTCAAACACGCCTGAAATGCTGTGATGGGACCTTCATTGAGCTGTGTATGAACAAATGCCCACAAAGCTCAATGAAATGAAGCAACACACTTACATTGAGTAGTGGAGCACAATGATGACATCGACTCGTCCCCATGCAATTCAGTTCAATATTATTTAAATAGTGCCAATTGATGACAACAGTTGCCTCAAGTCGTTTTATGTTGTAAAGTAAAGACCCTACAGTAATACACTAATGCACAGTTGAATTATGGCTCGTGTCTAAGATAATGCAACCACAGTCTTGAGTTCATATGCATTAGTCAGTTGTAACTAATCACAATTGTATGTTAAACTGATTTCATGAATTAGACCATAAAGTCCTCTGTTTCTCCATCTTCATCAGCCACATCTCTGCTTTACCTGGATGTGTTGTGTTCCTCTTGTTTCTCTGTAGCATTGCTGTCATTTCTCTCACCTATTCACAGCTATGGTTTTGGTTAAACCTGGATCCTGCAGTCTGAGTTGGTCTCTCTCTGTGACAGTTAATAAATAAAGGACTTTAATGCCTCTGTGGAACAGATTTGGCTGGTACTCCACATGTTGTTTATGTTAGGGTTAGGTTAACATCTTGGCTTCACTTCCAGAAGAGTTAATCAAAGAAAAGTCTTACAGAGGAAATTATGACAAATGTATATTTGTTTTATATGCTTGCATGTTAATGAT